CCCCCCCCCCCCCCCCCCCCGCAGGGACAGGAGTCGCAGAATGGTTTTCCTGTCGCGATGCCCGTAGCCTGCAGATAACAAACTAGTGGCTATTGACATGGACGCCGCTTTCTCACGGTGACTGTGTTCCTGCACGTTTACAGACGTCTACACACACACAAAAAAAGATCAACTTTTTTTTCCCCAAGCAACAACAACAACAAAAAGAATGATTATGATAGGAAAGGGAAAAATTAAATAGCTACATATCATTAACAAATTAATTGTTCTTCAAAAAATACCTACAAATTTCTCTGTACATTCTTTACGCACAGCGTAATGATGGTCTTAAAGTTACCTATATAAAAAAGTGTTCAACAGTTTTCTTCCTACAGAAATATAGGGGCCCGAATGCCAAAGTCTGGAAGCCCAGAGTGAGAGTGAAGTGTGGCGGGCCGCAGGGGGGCTGCGGGGGAGGAGGGGGGAGGGGAGAGGAAGGGGGAAGGAAGGTGGGAGAAGTGGGGGAGGCAGCAGCAGCCTTTCTGCGCTCCAAGGCCTGCCGCCACCCCATGACTACAGGGGCCAGCCCCCAGCCTGCGCTGCGCTGCCGGTTTCCACAGTTCCACAGCTCCCCTGTACTCCCTCCCTCTGGAAGCCGGCGCCGTGGACTTCCATTTCCAGGAGTCCACAATGCTCTGTGGCCCAGACACCCACGCCGCCCTGGCCGGGCTAGATGTAGCACAGCTGAGGGGCTGGACAGGAGACCCCGCTCAGGGCAGCCCAGCCTGTCTGCCCTGCGTGCCTCTACTTTCTAGTTAGTAGCTATCAACACAGCCAGGTGAGAGTGAGTGTAGTCATAACTGTATTGTCAGGAATGTATACTTGGCCCCAGCGTACGAATACCTTCGTGCACATCGCCAGCAATCTGCTTGCTTGGCCAGGATTAAAAGGAAGCAGTCCATGCATCCAGGCAAGTTGGAGACCAGCTCCCGGGGGAGCTGGCAGGAACGCAGCCTGGGATGTGGACCTCAGTGACGACAGACGGACAGACGTCCACCGACTCCTCCGCGGCGCTCGGTGAGCAGAGTGAACGTCCAATACACAACTGTACCAGCAGTGCGTAGGCAAGGGCGTCCGTACAGCCTAGAAACAGCTCTTCCTATGAACACACAGTGACCTCTGAAGCAGTCCAGCGTCCTCCGGCTCTGCGCTAGTCTCAGCAGCGGCAGTGTTAGAGCAGGGAGATGCCCGCGGGGGCCGGCCGGGGCTGCAGTCCGGTTGCCAGCACCTGAAATCTAAAATGACCTACGTAAGCTGTACTCGGCTCCCTCCCGAGGCGGCTTCGGCTAGCAGAAGCGCGGGAATGGTCCAGGTATCAGTCTTGAGCCCTTGGTTTTCTCAGCAGTTTGCCCTCAGAGGACGCATCTCGCAGACAGCCCCTGTCCCCTCCAATAGTGCAAATCAGACACGACAGCTCTCTTCAAGTATACACACGCACCCACGCACGCACACGCATGCACACGCTGGTTGAATGGGACACGCGGGCCCAGGTCTCAAGAAGCAAATGGGAAAAGCAGGAAGATGTGGCTGGCCGGGGGCCATGGCTTGTGAGCGGGCGCGCTGCGGACCCGGCCCGGCCACGGGCCTGCGCCGAGGTTTCTTTGGTGAGCGAGGCAGGAAGTGAGGCTGCTACATTGGGCCGGTGTCGCACGCTTTCCTGCCGCCACACTGGAGGCCCCTTGTACAAATACCAAGCGAGTACAAAACAACAGAACCCCCCCTGCCCCTGTCGTTTTTTTGTGTTTGTGTTTAAGCACGGACTGTTCAAAGCTCAGCAAACCATGCAGGTCCCCACGTCCCCAGAGGGGGTGTTGCTCAGGAGACGACCGACGGGGAGTGGCCATGGCTGACCATGTGGGCGGAGGGGCTGGCCGGCTGGCCCCTGCGTGAGGCGGACTCGGGGCTGCTGGCCGCGCCGTCCTTGGCGGCTTTGATCTGAAGCCACGTGTCGCCCAGAGCCTTGGCGAAGTGGTCATCCACGGAGCCCGTGATGGACACGGAGTTGGGCGCTGGCTCGGGCTCTTTGTAGTTCTTGCCCAGGCTCCGGCGGAAGTGCTCTTCCACAACAGGGTCGCAGCTGGCAGCGGCTGCAAGGGAGCGATCAGAGGCCGGGGTCACGGGGCGGGCACGTCTCTGAGCCTGAGACCCAGTGCTGTCCCTGCTGCCCGGGGCTGGGCACAGGCCCAGGGCCCACCTGTGCCCACCGGCTCCCCTCAGACACACCGGACCACAGGGGTGCCAACACCAGGCAGCTTTTAGGGTGAAGGGTGGCCACTCGGGGCTTCAGCTAGGGGCACGGACACTCACCACTGGGCGGCCTCCGGTAGCTGGCAGGCCCCGGCGTGGCGCAGCCGCTGTGCGCGATCGGGCAGTGTGAGAGGTTGCAGTTGCGGGCACCGGCGGACGCGCAGGTGATCACAGAGGGCCGGTTCTGCGGGAGGAAGGGGGAAGGGGAGGAAAGGGGAGGATTAGGGATGGCGGTGAGACCCACCTCCTACTCTGATCTGACAGAGCTGAGCGCTCTGCGCTGCAGGGGACCTGCAGGCGGCTGGGACTCCAGGGTCAGTGAGGGGCGGGGGCAGAGGCTCCGCTGTGCGGCACTGGTCCGGCCCCCTCTCCGGTCTGCATGAGGATAGCCCGGGAACTGAGTCACGGAGGACCCGGAAGACCCCGCCCCATGTTCTCAGGCTCCCATCCACACCAGAGCCAGCTCGGGCCGGTTCCTGCTGTGCCCTGCCCCCCACCAGGGCAGCGCTGTGGGCACACCGCGCACCCACACACTGCCCCAGGCCCCTCGGCTGCCATTGCGGCAACACCCAGGCTCAGCGCGGTGTGCTGCCCCCTCCCCCATGACACCTGCCCTCCAAGTTCTGGGAGAGCAGAGCGGCAGCCCCACCCTCGGGGAGGACCCCCGGGGTGCCAGCCCTGGCTCCCGCTCGCCTGAGGCGGTCTGAGCAAAGGCCGGCAGGGCGCCTGGCAGTCACGGCCCCCAGAGGCCCAGTGCGCCCTGTGCCCACGCGCACTCCAGAAACCGCACTTCTCGAAGAGATGCATTTCCTGCGCGGGCCAAGGGCGTGAAGGGGTGCGGGGATCCCTGCGTTGGTTTTTAATTAACAAGCAGCTCGCAGGTGTCTGGGACGTGTGAATCGGCGTGAGCTCAGCTGTGGTGGGCACAAGAAACCTGACCACCGCATGGTGCGAAAGCCAAGCCAGGGACACGGCGCCGGCGCCTGCTCTGCCGCCCCGGGCAGAGGCTGCCATTCCCCGTGGGCCCGGGCACACGTACCTGCTGCCGCTCGGTGGGGGTCAGGGTGGGGGAGAGGCCGGCCGCCCTGCCGGCGTCCCCGCAGTTCTTGGTCAGCGCGAGCGGCTGCTCCATGAGGCCGGGGAGGGACGCGTACAGGTGGCTGCTGTGCAGGCTCACGGCGGGCGCTGCGGCCCTGTCCACGGGGCTGCGGCTGCGGTCCCGGGGCCCCCGGCGGCAGTCTCCGTTGGCGGTCTTGTTCCTGAAAAGCAGTGTGCACTCAGACGGGCCGGGGGGGCTTCCCCGGGGTTCCCCGCATGTTCTGCTGTAGGGTTCAGGCCTGTGCCCGCCGGGGCTGAGGGCGCCCAGCCCAACCTGGAGCCCCAGCCATGGGCGCAGGACCACCGGGATCGGGCGCCGGGGCGGGGTGAGGGCGTTCAGGGCTGCCTGAGACCACCGGCAGCGGCTCGGTCCACGGCAGCCCTAAGCGGGAGATGCTGCCACTGCCCCGGGGCCGGGGTGCGGGGCGGGCAGCCAGCGTGTGGCCCCTGCACCCACACAGCACCCATGCCCACCGGGGCCCCAGGGCCCTGAGCAGACCTCCACAGGCCACAGAGCCTGGAGGAGTCAGTTCCAGACAGCCCCTGGCCTTGCGGGCTGCCTGCCTTCCCTCCTTGGAGAGCAGGGCTTGGGGACAGCGACTCAAGACTCGTAGATGTTCGGACCGTACCGGGCACCGAGCGGTCAGCCAGCCAGCGGCGGCGGCACCCCTCCTGAGCAGCCGCAGCGACCCCACTGCGCAGCACGGACACGTGCGGCCACGGAAGCGGTGCCGTGGAAGGCGGTCCCGCGCCCCTTCCTCAGGACTGTGCAATCCCTCCCGGCGGACGCCGAGCCAGACCCCGCCCCACTTGTGTTTGTTCCAGGCAGGGCCGCCTCTTCAGAAGGCAAACCCGACCCCCGCCAGCCCCCCTGGAAGCTCGGCCACCCAGCGCCGCCCGCCTCCCATGGCCTCCAGCCCTGACCACTTCCACAGCAACCCGTGCTGGGGCCGCGGCCGCCTGGGTCTCCCCTAGGAGCCCAGGGCCCGCCCAGGCCACTCCCACCCCCCCACGAGGCCCAGGCCCCTCCACCCAGGCCGGCCCACAGGTTGCTCCCTTGCGGGGGGGGGGGGGGGGAGGTTCGCAGGGCGGGGCTGGAGAGCACAGGGGTGACCCTTTTCAGTCACGGTGACGTGCCGTGCGCAGCCCGCCCGCGGACCTGGCCGACCCCGCGCTGCCATCTCTCAGAGCACCTGCGGCCCCAGTTCCGACACCCCGGAGGCCAGCCCGGGAGCATGGGCTCACCTGTGAGGTTTGCCAGCCTCACACCTCACCCGAGGGGAGGCTAGCCTCCAAATGTGCGCAAAAATAAAGCCCATCTGATCATTGTTTTCATGCGTCGGGGTTGTCCGTGTTTAGACGGGGTCTCTAGGCTGGCCTAGAACTAGAAACCCTGCTCAGCCTCCCCCGGCACCATGGCCCTAGGCCAGCACCGCCATGCCTGGCTTGACCAAACTGAGCTGACAGGAGGTTCCCTCCCTCGGCCTCGGCCTCAGCCTCGGCCTCCCCTCTAGGCGGCAGAGGAGGGGCCCTGAGTGTCCCTGGCAGGAACCTCCGCTGCCCCACCGGCTCCGGCTCTGTTCAGGGCCAGCAGGGCAGCTGCGGCCACCTTCCGAGGGGGGTGTGGACGAGGGACACAGAACACAGGCCGCGTGAGGACTCAGGACCCAACACACGCACACACGCACGCAGCCCCCTTGACTCCTCCTACCCACAGTCCGACAAAGTCAGATGACAACGTTTTCAGGCTAGACTCCGGGACCCCAGAACCCCTACCAGGTGGGAAATGGGGTTTTTCCTGACTGCTGGCCCAGTAGTGGGGGCACGGACACAGCGTCCGGAGCCATTTGTGGCAGAAACACATGTTGCACCCACACACACACACAGCTGCACACAGCAGAGATTGCTCAGCTGCAGCCCTGCGGCGTGTCAGCCACAGACGCTGCGCTCCTCACATCCTCTAAGCGACACTAGAGCGCAGCTCTCCCATGCGGCTGGGTGCACAGGCCCTGCACCCGAGGGGCGGGGGAAGGGGCCCCTCCCTCAGAGGACAGAAACTCTGGGGAGGGGAGGGGAGGGGAGGGCAGGCCTCCGCTCTGCAGAAGGAATGTCAAAAATGCCCAGGCCTGGTGGCAGCGGTTCTGCTCCCTCGGCCCCCTCCGCTCTCCGCCCTCGAGCCCGGATGAGAGGCTGCTCTGAGAAGCACACGTGCTGACTGCCGCCATCCGAGGCCCCCGTGGGTGCCGCTGCTTTAGGTGGGCGCGAGAACTCTGCCCTGTCTGCAGATTCCGCGCTGCGCCCCACGCGGGCAGCCCAGCGCCCGGGCCGGGCTGCATCCTCCCCGCCGGCCGTGTTGCCCGCGCTCGCAGCCACACAGCTGCCGAGGCTTCGGGGCTTTGTTCACCGGCCTAGAAGCAGCCGCTCGGCTAACGTCTTACACGTCTGAATTGTAACAGCACGCGATGGCAAGGGCATTTCTGACGGGGGGGGGGGTTACTTTTCAGTCTCCCCAACAGCACTGTCCACAGCACCCGTGTCCACAACACAGTCATGGGAGGGAACGCGCGTGCACGCCTCGTCTCTCCAGCCCAGGAAACATCTGGGGAAATGGCTAAGTAGAAGCCGAATGTAATCTTTTGATTACTAACAATCAGACAAGTAGCGCACAGTGGAAGGTCAGTGTGAACATCCTGCAGAGGAAGTGTGGACAGAGAAAGACCCAGAAGCCAGGATGCAGCCACAGGCCCGGCGGGTGGCCGGGGCGGGCGGGGTACACCTCAATCCCTCCGGACAGCGCAGCACCCCTCCCCCACACCCCCCAAGCCCTGAAAGCAGCAGGTATGCAGGAAAGGTGGGGTAAGTGAAATGTCCTTTCCCTCCCTCCCTCCCTTCTCTCTCTCCCTCTATCCCTCTCTCAGCAATCCTGGGACATGGAACCGTAGCTCCGAGCCCCGCCCCGCCCCAAGCACAGAATAAGGTCTGCCCTGGTCATCCAGTCCTTTCTAGAAGGCTTTTCCATCAAAGGCAAGGCTCAGTGATGAGCTCAGCCTGACAGAAAACAACCGCATTTCAGAAAGCCAATCACAAACGTCTTGCACACCTGACTGCTTTCTTAGTCTGGTCAGCTGTAACAGCAACAGGAGATGAACACCCAATTAACAAACAAACAAACAAAAACAGGTGCCTCACGCCTGTCATCCCAGCTACTCAGGAGGCTGAGATCTGAGGATCACAGTTGAAAGCCAGCTCAGGCAGAAAAGAACACGAGTCTCTTACCTCCAATGAACCACCAGTAAACCGGAAGTGGTGCTGTGGCTCAAGTGGTAGAGCGCTCGCCTTGAGCTGAAGAGCTGAGGGACAGCGCCCAGGCCCAGAGTTCAAGGGTTCCTAAGCCTGGCATGTAAGCCGTGGCTGCTGGGAGGCACATGCCTCTCCTCGGCGATGCTGGCCAGGAAGCACAAGCAGGAGGCTGCGGCGCAGGCTGGTGTGGGCGCAAGCAAGACCCGTGCTCAAGAAGGTACACAAAAAACGCAGCGGAGCGGCTGGAGTGCCGGCTCAGCAGGCCCAAGGCCCGAGTTCAAACCCTAGCCCCCAGTACTGCCAAACCACACAGAAAACCCACAAGAAGGAATCTACTAAGACAGTAGCTGCACAACATTTAGACTTTGAGGCCCTGACACCAAATCTGAAGAACCCCAGAAGTGGGGCACACAGGCAGAAGTTTGCCCCAGAGAGCAGCAGGGGGGCATCATTTGCCTCCATCGGACATCTGTGGGGTAGTGGTGCGGGAGAGTGGAGTTCTAACCAGGATTCTGTCCTGGAAGCAAAGTGGAGACTGAGGAACTCCCCTGTTCTCCAGGCGTGAGCCCTGGCCCCGCCCCTCCACCCTGGCCCCGCCCATCCTGTCCTTTCCACTGCAGACAACCTAGCCTCAAGTACTTCGTTACAGCCTTGGAAGATAGATGAGAGCAGCAAGTATCCGAAAGACCCCGGGGGCAGGAGCCACAGATGTCACAAGAAAGGGGTGGCGGGAACCGAGGAGGAGGGGCTGTTAGGACAGAAGAGGCAGCCGGTGTGGAGGCTCACCCTGTCATCCTAACTACTCAGGAGGCTGAGACCTGAGGATCACAGCTCAAAGCCAGCGGGGACAGGAAAGCCTGAGACTCCGGCCTCCAATGAACCACCAGAAAATCAGAAGGGGCTTTGTGGCTTAAAGTGGTAGAGCGCTTGCTTTGAGCAAAAGGAGATCAGGGACGGAGCCCAGGCCCAGAGTTCCAGCCCCATGACTAACAACAAAGAAAAGAGGTCAACAAGTGTGAGGGTGCTGGCCCGTAAGCCTGGATCTTCAGCACAGAAAGGAGGGTCCTGGTTCAAGGTCAACCCTAGCTGAAAACAGACACACAGGAGTGGTAGATGGCTGGCCTAGAAAATGTGGGGACCCCGGCTTAAAAAAAGTCAAAGCCATTCTAGAATTGCAAGTTCCCAAACCTGTGAGGAGTGGGGGGCTGTGGGGAGGGAAGCGGCACTAAAAATGCTGACGGGTAACGGAAGTGGGGCGCAGGCCGCAGAGAGCAGGGCAGCCGGACCACACCACCAGCCATCTTACCAGGTAGGCGGAGCGGCGGAGACCACAGATGCTTCGGTGTCTTGAAGCGCTGGAGGCCTGAGACCAGGGTGCTGGTGGACTGAGGTCCAGGGCGGGGCTGGCGTCCGGGGCGGGGCTGGCTTTCTTCCTGGCCTGTCAGCCATTGCCACTTTGCTCGCAAGGCGTGGAAGGGTGCACAGAGCAGCACCCCCCCCCCAGCCCATCTAACCCATATCACCTCCAAATACTGGGGGGGGGGGGCGCGGCGGTGTGTGCATGGAATCTGGAGGGACACAACCCACTTTGTACAGATCCAAGACCCAATTGCATGGGAGGAACTCTGGCCAAACGTTTCCACACAGGAAACTTCAAAAGGTAAGAAAGCCCATTCTCTTCCTGCACAATGGCTTCGGAGAAGAAAGCAAGCTCAGTGCTAGGACTCGCTTCCAGAACAGTCTGATGTAACCGAGTTGCCAGTTTCCTCCTCCGCTTTGATTCAGTTTCTGGAGATGGTTTCCTTGAGAAACCATTACCCACCCTTCCTTCCTTCCTTCCTTCTTTCCTTCCTTCCTTCCT